AATCCCTGGATCACCAAGATTGTTTTGTGTTTGCTTTTTTTTTTTTAATCTTTCTTTTCTCAGTACTTTCTCTTTTTTAAGATTTATTTATTTATTATATATGAGTACACTGTAGCTGTCTTCAGACACACCAGAAGAGGGCATCAGATCTCATTACAGATGGTTGTGAGCCACCATGTGGTTGCTGGGATTTGAACTCAGAATCCCTGGAAGAGCAGTCAGTGCTCTTAACCACTGAGCCATCTCTCCAGCCCCTATGTTTGCTTTTTGTACATCTATCTATCTATCTATCTATCTATCTATCTATCTATCTATCTATCTATCGAGAGGAGGGGATGGGGGGGGTGGTTCTGAGACTCAAACTCATGACCTCAGGCTTGACAGCAAGACTCATCTTCTGAGCCCTCTAGCCAGCCCTTATTTTATTTTTATATTATTGAGATAAGACTTCACTATGTAGCTCTGACTGGCCTCAGACTCACTATCCTCCTGCCTCAGCTTCTTTGGTGATGAGATCACATGCTGGGCTATGCTCCTGTACCTTTCTTTTTTTGCATGGTGTCACAGGCAGATGTGATCCCGGCCATCGCCTGCAGGTGGCAGCATCGCTGCAGGAAGCGGTGGGAACCTTGCGGGCGCAGAGGCTCGCCCAGGCAGACTGGATGGGTGAGGAAAGAGCCAGAGCCAGAGCCGGAGCAACATGCCCGCAGTGGTTAGAGGCCCAGATTCCGTGGGATAAAATGGGTTCCGATGGTGGTGTCTATAAAACTACACTACGGAGGGACCCTGGGTGCCTGCCATCCAGCTGTCTCGCAGTCACACTTCAGGAAACTGAGTTGGGGTGCGTGCTGTGTGGACTAGGAGTTTATCTCAATAGCTGGGGTCCCCGCAGCAACGCCTCCTGTGCACATGGGGTGTGTGCTGGAGCCTATGTTGAGCAGAGAAACTTTTCCTAAATAATTAACTCGGGGTCCTCCTTAGGCGCCGTGGCCTCAGCCTGGTTCCCTGTGGGGTGGAGAGCAGCATCTGCCCTGCCCAGAACTCCCGCGTGTCTCCAGACACCGCTGCGGGTCGCGGGGTCGCAGAGCTGCCCAGGTGCCCTGGATCCCTTGCTCGGCCCTCCTCTAGAACCTTCGGGCGGCTCGCTTGCCCGCGCTCATTCTCAGCAGTCTCAGACGACTCCAGGCCCCATTGGCCTCCCTGCGGATGACATCGGACCGACAGCCTTCCTTGCTCCCTTCCCGCCCTTGTCTGCAGTGGGCAGGAGAGTACCCCCTTGGAGAATGAGAGCTGCGGAGGAGGCATGAGATGACACCCCGCAGCGACACTGAGACACTCCCCTCAGCCCTCCATCCTCCGCACCCTACGGAGCATCCCAGGGTGGGCACCCTGTCCACAGCATCCCGGACTTCCACCCACTCCACGCGTAAGGTAACAGCCACGCGTGTCCCCAACATCACCCAGGATCCCGTCGTGGAGACTGGGCGGGCACAGGCATGAGGGGGTGACCATGAGGAAACTTCTTCACGCACAGCCATATGCTCATATTGCCCAAGTGCACGCAGCGCCCCCAACGTCCAGACGGGGGCATCAGAGCCCCGGGGAATGACGTCACCGACGTCAGGCACCCTGGTGGGGGCCCGGCACCGAACTCCAAGAACGCGTGCTTTTAAACACTACGCATGACCACCAATCTCAGTCAGACCCTCTAAAAAAATTTTTAAAGTACATTTTTAGCGAATTTAAGTCTCAACAGCCGTGGCCCCAAATTTCATCTTTCCATCAACTGACTGTGACGCCTAGACTTGAACAAGCCAGGTGGCGGCGATGGCGGCGGCGCACGCCTCTAATCCCAGCACTCAGGAGGCAGAGGCAGGAGGATCTGTAGTCTACAGAGGCCAGCCTGATCTACAGAGCGAATTCCAGGACAGCCAGGGCCACACAGACAAACCCTGTCTCAAAACAACAAACAAAAAGCCTTGCCCAGTGCATCCTGGGAACAGGCTGTCCTAGAGAAATTTACATAACTGTTGATTCATAGGAAGGCCCATCGATCACGGTTCTGTTGGTTTATTGGAACCGGGGGTCCTACTATGCAGTCCGGGCTGGCCTCGAACTCAGTGTGATCTTGGTGTTAATCTTCACTGACCTTGACATTGGCATTGAATCAACAAGGAAACTGCCCATCTGAGAGAGGAAGTCTACACCTGGTAAACTGACGTGGGACCCACCCTGACTGTGGTGGCGCCATCACACAGGCTGGGGTCCTGGGGCTTAGGAGGAAGGAGATCACAAGCTGTGCCCGAGTAGTCACCTCTCTCTGCTTCCTGAGAACCCCGCCTCCCTCACACCGCCACGCCCACCTCACGCCGCCACGCCCTCCCTGCCAGGATGGACATCAGAACTGTGGCCAGAGTAAAGCCTCTCTGTCCCTTAAATTGCTTGTGTCACAGCGACAACAGGAGTCGAAACTAGGACTCTCAGCTTCCCAAACGATTAGCTCAGGGGCGCTGCGCACACGGTCCTGGGTCATCTTCAGTGGGTACTCTGGGCCTTGAAGATGCTCAAGAGAAGCCCCCATCCCGCTACATGCCAGGCGCTTCCTGAGCTGGGGTAGTCACGTGTCCCTAGACATGGCCCAGTGTCCCCTGGAAGACAAAATCACCCTCAGGTGAGACCGTTCTTCCCTGCACAGCTCTCAAGGTGACAGGCATACCTCTCTAGCAGGTCGCAGCTCCTCCGCAGGGAGCGAGTGGGTGGGCTGGGCTGTCTGAGCCCCCTTCTCTTCCCACGCTGACATGGGCACGTGGCGCAGGCACCGGTCTCCTGCAGGCTAGATATAGCAAAGCGGGGCCCTTCTTTTGTGCCACATGAAGCTGTCAACATCATCACCATAGCAACCATCTAAATATGTCACCCAGGAACACTGATTGCCAAGGCAGGGAGCAGAGGGTGACGGCTCCTCTCTGGATGGGGTGCGGGGTGCAGGGAACAGAGCACTGAAGCACTGGGGACCAGGGTGTCAAGCGAGCTGGCTGTGACGAAGCCCTGAGTGGTCAGGACAGAAGGACACTTAAACTTAAGGACTAAAGGCCAACCAGTCACAATATTTTATGCTTCGGGCACTGTGGTCAGGTTGAAATGGAAGTCCTCCTGCCTCAGCTCCCCGAGTGCTGGAACAAGTGCGCCCAGCTTCCCGTTTGCTCTTGAACAATTCCTGTCCGCACCTTCCAGCCTGTGGCTGGCAGGGTCCAGGCAACCGTCTCCATTCAGCTGGGAGGCAATGGAATTCTACACAGTCAAGATGGGGTCTCTCCGGGGTACCAGGCACACTTCGGGTGGGGGCGTCCCAGACCCTGCAAGTGCTCAGTGAGTCCCTAGCTTCCACTAACTCCATGCCAGGGCTCCCCTGGTGTGATGTGGCCCAGGATCCAGAGGGAGGAGTCACCCCACAGCGACTGTTGTGTGGAGACAGACACCTTGATGGTGGCTTGGGGTCTGTAAGTCTGATAAATGGCCCATGGGACCCACATGGTGGGGAGAGAATCGACCACTAGGATTCATCCTCTGACCCAGGCACTCACCAAGGCGTGAGCAGACAACAGAAACAGAAGGAAACAACTAAATGTAAAGAGAGGCTCTGTCCAAAGGAAGAGGTATGTGAGGACTCACAGCCACCTTGCAAAGATGCCTGATGGCAAACACTCACTCACTCACTCACTCACACACACACACACACTCACACCCCACATGACACACCACACCACTCATATATACATACACACACTACACACACCACACACACACACCACATATATGACACACATACTATACACACATGACACACATACACATCACACACACACACCAAACACACATACACAGGACACATACACACACCACACATACACAGGACATACACACATGACACACACACACATGACACACACGCACATGACACACACAGGACACACACACACAGGACACACATACACAGGACACACACACACATGACACACACACACAGGACACACACATACACAGGACACACACACATGACACACACACCACAGCTTATAATCAGGGCGGCTGTGGCTCCTATCAATACCAGTTTCCACTGGTGTTCCATTGCAGTGCTAGGGTGGAACTAACTCCATGCACAGCAGAACTCACAGCAGAGCCGGGACCCAGCCCCTCACTGGGAGATTCTGGGTGGAGGCCTCTCGGGACAAGACAATAAGGGAGGATATTGGGGCAGCTCCCAGGGAGCAGATATTTCTGAAACCTCTACTCAGACATCCTTAGCACACACCCCAGGCTCTGACCTTGGATCAAGCCAACATCAAAGTCTATCAATAAGGTGCTAAAAAGGGGCTCATCAGACCCTGATTCCTGTCTGAGGAGAGAGGACGGCCATCCTAAGACCTGAGTCATGGAAACACCTTTGCCCTGGGCTCCTCAACCAGCTTATTC